CAGAAAACTGGCTTTATTTTTTCAAGCTTTATTTCGCTAACGTAAAACCGTTGCTCTTTTGAACCGCTCTATTCATTCGTTAACATATTATGAAGATAGGTATATTTTTTTGTTGCCACCGAAAATGTTTTTTCAATCCCTTATTTTTATAACAATTAGTTTGAATTTCGCCCAGCACGGTGTTTGTACCTCAGCAATGTTTTATTCGGTCATGTTGCTCAATATGCTGGCAAATCACAATTTTGTTTCAGATTGCATTTCGATATTAGCATTCGGAAGGCTTTCACAATGACAGTTGCGTTGTTTTATCATCGGGCTTTTAATATTTTAAATATGTGCTGTTAAATTACTTTTTAAAACTGTGTAAAAATAATCCTATTACGCATATACATAATCCGAAGCTGGCTAGATTAAAAGCGTTAGGAAGGACTGTGATATAGAAAATATTGTCAATATTATAGCATTTTTGTTCTTCTTATTTAACATAGAAAAATGGTATAACCATTACACTATACTTAAAAGAGTAACGCCTATTTCAATTTCAAATTGACAATTAAAGTAATTCCCTGAAAGATATATAACAAAATGCCGCTCGTGATAATTTAATCAAAACATTTTATTCTTGAAACTTCTTTATTTATAGTTGGCCTTAATAAGTCAGTCCTGTCTCTTTAGTCGTGTTTTAGCTGTGGCCTGTGTGCCAAATTAAATATACCTCCAAAATACGATGGTGTCACGTGACCGCATACAAGATCACCCAGGATTTAGTTTCACTTATATATTTGTCGCAAAACAACGTTACGCACTTATTTTTTATTTAACATACAATAATATTCTCTTTCAGATATATTGAAACATTTTTTAAGAGTACCATCATAGAGACAGCCATTACTAATATATATTTTATAGTATACTAGCTTTAAGCCCGCAGCTTCGCCTGCGTGGAGTTCGGTTATATCGCGTTTTCAAGAGAACCTTTCTAAAGTCTGGGATAAAAACTATCCTATGTTCTTTATCATGATCAACTCTATCTCTATACCAAATTTCATTAAAATCAGTTCAGTGGTTTAGGCATGAAAGCGTAACAGACAGACAGACAGAGTTACTTTCGTATTTATTATATTAGCAGGGATTATGTACATTTTAGTATACATATAAAATTAAATTAAGTATCCTTTTGATGCAATATTCTTTGACACGCCTGATTACAAGCGAGTCATGATTACCTTTGACTGTCTCATATTTGTGTAATCAGTCTTTGAGTGTTTTGGCCCTTGTAGACGTTAAGATATGAAAAGCGTGAATAGCGTTAGTTCTTGATATTATAAACAAAAAATTTAAATTTCAGATTTATATATTATAAAAAGTTTTATTTTAACACTTAAAGTCACGTATAGCTTACCTTTTTTCTCCTATAATTTTCATACCAATTAAATACCTACTAAAAACTGAAAAAAGTTATTCAACTAATTTGAAAATATATATCATAGTATATTTTTATATAGATTTTTTATAAGAATTACTTTACGCATTTTACGTGAATAATATGGCTTAATGGTTATAGGAGGATTATGAAGAAAAAATGAAAGTTACTATGTGTTGAACAACAGTGTTCCTAAATACGGTTATATTGCCTGAGTTACATAAAGTTGATTTTTATGAAAAAAAGCTACTTAAGATTAAGATTTCAAACTTTTATATTTAAAATTTAAATTTATATTCATTTCGCTATTTGTTTATTAATTGTTTAAAATTTATTTCATATTTTTATTTCTTACGACGGACAAACTTCTTATTAAATTGTATATAGCGAGGATGCGCGCTGCGTCTATTGTTCGCGTCGTCCGGGCCCGCGCACCTGTAGCCCCGCTGGCCCCCGCTAGCGGCCGCTGGCCAGCTGAGCGGGCACTGCGCCGGGCTCGTCAGTCCGCATAGACTTTAGCTGTGTAACGCTTGTCCGTCATCGTTACGGCGACACTCGCACGCACCCTCGCTTACGAAAAATAATCTCCTTCTGTCTTAATAGCTTTTAAGTAGTTTAAATTGCTAAACTTCATTTAATTTGCTAAATATTTAAACTTAGCATAAAGGTTAAAACTGTATATATAAAATTAATATAAAGAACTCTATGTATAAATTTATAGGAATGTGAAGTTAATTCAATAACGAATTGAATGCTTTGAAATAAAACACTTATATTTTAGATAAAATATCGAAAATAAAGTGTTTGAAAGGAGTTCTGTTATATGTTTTAACTCGCGTAAATGAATTAATATTCCTTATTTTAAATATTATTTACACTCTTCACTAGACTTAGAAACTCAAAAATATAAATCCCTATTTTTTAGATATTTCTCTTATCGCTACAATATTGTAGAATATTATATTTTGTAGCACTGAAAAACTAAAAAAAAACATTTGGAATCGAATTAAAAACAATATCAATATGAAATTCAATAAATGTCTGGTTTATTTTTTTGTACTAATATTTAAGAAAAAGTAAATAAATTCGAAAAATTCAAGATAAATGTATGTTAAAACGCATTTCTCATTTAAACAGATAACATTCCGAAGCTGAGTTCAACGAAACACTTCAGGCGAGAGGTTTTTCACTCACCGAGATATAACCGCGGCTTAACAATAAACATTTAAAATAAATGTTCTCTTTGAATTTTAATAGCACTTGGTTCCCACAAAAATAATTTATACATTCTTTCCATATATATAAATAGAAAGAGAGAATATTAGAGAGAGAGCGAGGAGATAATATTTATATAGTCAGTGGTTGCCTAGTGGTTAAAAGGCCCGCCTCTCATGCATGAGGGCGCGGGTTCGATCCTGGCCTTGGCAAGTACCAATGTGATTTTTCCGAGTCATATGTACTTTCTTAGAGTATTTAGACATCACTGATTAAAGCATTCCCAAAGAGAGTTGATGTCAAGCAGGCGGCCGGTCGTGAAAACAATTAGCAAAAACTATTCACAAACATATAAAAGGCAGATTCTGGCTAAAGCTGGGAAAATTTCCAGGAAGAAGAAAAAGAAAAAGAAGATAATATTTCAGAAACATTTCTATATAACATACTTATCTCAAGACTAAATGTGCCTTAAAAAATAGAGTCAGAATTATAATTAATTTATTAAAAATTATTATTTCATAAAAAATTTTAAGGTAAGAAAAACTTTGATAAAAACGATTCATGAGTAAGCAAAACACTAGGCGACAATATTTTTCCACCACTCGCGTGCAAATAAAGGCCTTTCTAAAGCGACTTATTTCTACTTAAAATTATGCATTTAACATTTAAACTCATTTTTTTCATAAAATGGATTGTTCTCGCTGTAAAACTGTTGATTATAATTCTGGTTACTTACAAAATTCGTTATTGTACCAATGGAAATCTTTTGATATTACTTATCACTTGCTAAAAGAATTTCATAGAACATTCTACAGCATCTTTGAATTTGCTTCATGTATGCCGAGACCTCACACATGCTCAAAATTTTAAATGTCAATTGTGTTTTAATCTAATCCAACCTCAGTGTGTTTGTGTTCCAGAAACATTTATTCCAACACGGTTTTCCTCGCATGTTGGAATCTTCCCAAGAATTCACTTGTAACATGTATAGCCGATTACCTGTTATTATACAGCTTATCTGAACAATTTGAACAACTTTGAAATATACATTTTATACACTAATAATTCCTGTTTGAAACTCAGCGACCGTAATTTGAGTCATTGTTTGAGCATTCGTTAAGTAATACAATTTTTACTTATATTTATTACTTAATAAGAACTCATAAATCTTTTGATTTTTTCCCATTCTTATTCTTAAAAATAAAACTATAGGTACGTGTTCTAGAGAAATAAAATATATTATTTTAAATGCGGCAAAATTTTCAAGTCATTCATTTAATTTTATATTTGTTTATGTGCATTATAATTAATAGTCCCCAGACAGTATATAATAAACAATTAAAATCACGCAACGCATGGGAATGAAATAATTATAAACAATATTATAAATATAATAATTTAAACCGTAAATAATTTGTGCAAATAATAATTTAAATATTTCCTTATAAATAACAGTACCAAATTAATTAAAAATAAATTAATTTAATGGCAATAAATTTAAATTATTTACTATTTGAACCACATAAATTTATTTACTAACTGGTAATGTTATTAAATAAGTCTTATATAAATTAAGAAATGACTTAACAATATGTAAATCAACAAACTGTTTAATACATTAGGTACAGTGTAAGCGAATTATTTTATATTATTTTTCTGATGTAAATCGACTATAAATACGTTTAAGCCGACGACAGTTCACGATACAAAATGTATTAGGTTTTTTATTGTTTACGTCAGTATAGTAATCTAGTGGTGACGTCATGTTGTTGCGTCATCGCTGTTAATATTAGAGATTTTTGTTTCTTGTTTGTTTGAACATTTTCACGACATTTTTATATGATTTATTTCATAGAACTTTTTTAAGAACAATATCATGGAATATTCCTTTTTTAATTAGATTCTTTTGTGTTAATTTAAATAGTGTATAATTATTTAATTTTTATGATCAAATGTACTATTCGAGTATTAATAATAATAATTATTAATCATAATTTATATAACATTACAAGGTATACCACAAACTAATAAATGCTGGACAGTAGGTATATGTGCATAATTGTCAAAATATAAGTATCTAAGTAATTGAGAAATTTCACAGTTGCTGACGAATTTTGTTTATTACTAGCTGCGGAGCCAGGCTACGATGCTATGAAATGTGGAATACTTTACACATAAACCAAAACTAAGCCTTAACATAACACATTTATATATCCCTTAATATTTTAATGTAGATACTTTGGAGTTGAACTTTTAAACAATCCACAATATTTGCCTTTAGGTAAATTTTAATACATCAACCGCAAATATGAGAACGGTGCTCAAACAATAACCCCGTGTAAAACTTTTATACACTAACAAGTCAAGAACAACGCGGTAAGTATAGAATATTCTCAACCCGCAAATATTGTTCTGGGGACTTACCTTTATGCATGCCAGTGTGCTTGTCTTTGAGGACGGTGAGCTCGTAGATCTTCCCGAACTCTTCGAACATTGGCCGCAGATCCTTCTCCTCCAGATGCCGTGGAATCTGCCCGATGAAGAGTTTGACGGCATCCTTACCGGCGCCCGGAGGTGCTCCAGTCCTCTCCGCAGGTGTCAAAGGTGACGCACTATCAGAAACACAACGCACTGGTGTCGATGGCATTGTACTCACATTTGAATCCTGATGGTTCACACTTTTAACCTGATTCTGAGCGAAACTTTGGAAGAACATCGGGTTACACAAGTTGCCGACCAACATTATCACAGTTTACTTATTATATATATTTTTTAATCACAGTTAATTTGTACTATAATTTCTTATTCTATAAATTCGGTTTTGTTTTAAAGCTTTCGCTGTTTACTTTGAGGGGGGTGGGGGGAGGGGCAAGGGGTGGTTTGCGTCTGTGTGCGTGGCTTGTGTCTGTTTGTGTCTCACTCGTAATGCGTAATGTTATCGATCCTTATAGTAGCGGGAGAGACCTCGTGTATTTCACCCACTCAATGTTTCACACGTGCTACTCTATAAACAACGTATGCTTCAACTTCCCGGAATTTCTTTTATTATATCAACACGAATGAAATTGCCCGTTAATTTATTTATACGCAAAATTTACACTAAATTGGCACGAACGATTAAATTTGAGCGTTAATAGTTTAAACTAGATCCATTTAGGCGATTCATCAAAAATGATGCTCCAATAAAATGTTTATCATGTTCCATGTGTTATGTTTACGTTGGGAACGCACGCCGTCCTGTTTACAAACAAACAAGACAAACACTATATTTTTTTCCACTCTCAATCCGTAAACGACTTTCAAAATATATTTATTATTACGAAACGAAGACAGAAACAGAGAAACTTAAATGATAGCCAAACAAAACACTTATTATATACAGCCCTAACATAAAGCACTAGACGACGACGAACGATGACCTTACGCACAAAAGAAACATAAGACACGAACTAAATTAGGCAACAATTTTGCCGTGTTCCCGTCTATATGTCTACATGTCCACTAACCTAAAATTCTCTCCCGGTCCTTTCATAGCGTACGCTATGGGGGAGTCGAATCTTGATACAGGCCTCCCTTTCACTCACCCTCGCAGATATTTAGAGGCAAGTGAACTCAGTTTATGTGACGCGCTTGATTATTACGAATCTCTTGTCTCTCACGATGTTTTACAAGAAATGTGTTATTATAATATGATGGATGGAGCATTTGAATGTACATGTATGTACATACATCTGGTACAATATGTCCAAGTATCTTAGCAGCCTCACTTAAGCGGATGATCGACATTATTGTTATCCTAAATACACAACGAAGTGTTCTCAGATTTGTCTGAATGTGGTGAGAATAAAGTCATTTAACCTGTAATCTTTTCTACGAAACATATATATTATTAGAACTTTATTTAGTACCGCTAAAAGTACCTTAAAATTGATATAAATAATATAAGTTTTCTCTTCCATAAATGGCATCCAATCTTGAAACAGTTTATCGCTGAGGCTGGAACAATAAGCTCTCGGGTACCATTTTAATAAAGCTAAAGCATCAGAGTAAGAAGAACATGTGAATAATATATTCGACCGATACTTAGGAGGTAGTAAAACAGAACGCGAATTTCCGTAAAAAGGTCTTCAATGCTGGGCCGGACTATAACTCAAGCGCCGAAAATAGAAGGGGATGCACCCTTCCTTCCTCATCCCCGCCCCTGACCTGCCAGCCTCAGTTGGGATGATTCGCGCCCTTAATGGTTCCTTAGAAAAAATGAATTAGAAATTGAAAGACTTGGGGTATTCGGATATTACATCAAGCTGAACTCAAAATTTATATTATATCCATAATCAGAATTTGCAACTCACAATTTATTTGAAATTTAATTTTACGCCACGAGGTATTATTTTTATTTCTATATTTATCGTATATATTTAATAACATTTAAGTTTAGTATCACTTGTGTTGTATTAAAAAACTTAATTTTTAAAAGGATACACTTATAACAAATCGTTTGTGAGGGTGCTGTACCCTCATTATAGTTAGTAAAAAACATTCAGTGATAGCGTTCGGCTTTTTAGGACTGCTTTTTATTTGGGAGATAATATCTAAATATCTATAGAAATTATAGTTTTTGTATATAAAATGTTTTATTTGGTAATATTTTAAACATTCTTATACTGGTCTTCTGTAACGTGACGTAACTAAAGAGAACTGTAATTTCGATCCCTCAAAGCATTTTTTACTATTGAATTGTATATGGGATCACGCGGGAATCGTACCGAGGGACTTTAATATCGTTCACAAAAATTGTTTTGAGGTTATGGAAATTATATGATAGCGAAAACTCAGGACACAAAATGCGGACTTACTTCAATACATATGCTTATTGAGAGAAAAGGGGAAAGTTATATTAATATTTGTATTGTTTATCGCGGTCCTAGGATCTAAGATATTTTTATTCTATCGTGTTTTCTATGTTTAATTGATAAAAATTTATATTATAGGGATAAAAACTTTAAAATTTTATATGATTGTTGTTGTCTGTGCACTAATATGCAATAGTTGATTGAAAATATGTGCTTAAAATACATACTTTATATTTTACAATTTTAGATTTTTTGTTAAATACCTTATGTTTAAACATACATTATTAATATTTCATATTTATCTCAAAGGATTTATACATTAAACTCCTTAAACATTTTCGAAAACATCTCTATTTTAATTAAATTTTAACATAACCCAATTTCTCAATTCAAGGTGAAAATAGAGAACAATGGTATCAGATACATAAACAACAGGAACTGATATAGGATGGGGCACGCACGCAAAACTATCTTCAATCAAAAATAAGCTCTACTTGGATTAGATAAAGTGTATAATTGTTTATTAGAAGGCCTCCCCTTATTGAGCCCGGGCGCACAGTAGTACCTATTATAGCAACGTCAGTAGAAATCTTTCCTTTGTATTTCCCCGTGACTGACTTTTCCCAAAAGGATAGTACCAACAAATAGAACATTTTAGTCTAAAGTAGGCTTGACAATGTCCTCAGTTTGTATCCTCGTCAAAATTAACGGACAGCGGTAATTTGAAATATTTTTTTGGAAATTAGACCACGGAGGCTAGAGATTCATTTGTTAATTATTTTTCATTCATAACCGAATCTTACTATAACATGACCACCTCAATTTTTATAAACTTAAAAAATTGTAAGAGGCAGTAGTAGGTAATGTAGTCAAGTGAAGTGATATTTATGAAATGAAAAGATAACTTTTCAAGTTTTATCGGACAGCATTAGGGCTGACCCTCTCACTGTTCTCAGTCCGCACCTGTGGGAGATATAATTTAAGGGTACTTAGTTCAAAGTCCCCAAGACGCATATAGACGTTAGACGGACGGCCAACTTTGTCAGACTGTAATCGTGAACATTTGCAAGTCTAAAATGCAGGAATTGTCCGAAGATGTTATTCTGTAGGGAGGTTGAAATTCAGACAGAGGTCGCAGTGTTATAACTTGGCTACTCCCCACTTGTACGCACTAATTTGACCCATTTAATATTAATGAGGCTTAAGCTAAGTTCAAGTTTTCGAATTTGAAATGTTTGTCTCGAAAACAAGAAACTTTTATGAATTATTTATTTTTTATAATGTTTGATCTCTGAAATATTTAACACAAAATAAATTTATATATAAAAATAAGGATTTGGTAATTCATTGAAGTCAAAAATATAGTGTTTTCATAATGAAATCAAAAACCGAATACTTAAAATCAGTAGAAATTTCTTCTTCATTTGTTTTGTTCACAAATTTTCTATTGTAAACGAAATGTATGTAAAAAAATAAAGGGGTGTAAATTTCTAACAATTGTGTTTCTATTACCTAAGTTTTTATAAACATAACGATCATGTTTTTATAGAAAATTTTTATACAGTTGAACAATTTCAGCAATTGATTTACTTCGTTCTTTCGAAGACTGACAAAAAATCTATGAGCAGTTGTTGGTAACAGGTAACGCTGAATTTCGACTGAGAGACTACGTAAAGTTAAGAAGTTGGTTCGACCGATATCTTTATTGAAATCGTTTAAAAGGTAGACTCGGTTGATTTTGAAACTTTACTGTCTCCTCCATTTCGTATTTTATTCGATTTTGTTTACGGACTTTTCTCTCTATGTTTGCTATCTTAAAATAATTTAATTTACTTATTCAATAAATATAGGTATTTTTTTATAAAAAATACAATTGTAAAGTTAATTTTATAATTGCAAATTAATTAACACCTATTATGATTTTAATCATTTGGCTTTTAATTTAATTAATATGTTTCATTACATTACAACACAAACATGTTGTGTCTATTAATTATAATACATAGTTTTTTTTCTTTATCACTTTAATGTTTTCGTGTCAGTGGTATTGTGCAATTATTTAAAAATAACTAATTAAAATTATTTTATACATGGTTAAGGATAAACATTTATTTATATTTATAGGTTGTCTTTTTTTATTTTTGTTTTTATTGGTATATAAACTCTATCTTAACATGTTATGCTGCACATCACTTATATCCCCTAGTGTTTTGTTCTGAACGTCACCTAAGTTGATCACCTTGTTAACACATTCTACAATTATGGTAATGCTGACACATGTTTCCCAAATTCCGGGCAAATGTGCAATTACGACCACCCTGTCAACCCTTCGTGATACGGAACAATAAAAAAGGCTAATTACATACGTCCAGTTGCAATCGCGATCGTTATCGGAGTCGAATTTCTCTTGGGATATTTATGGACGCAAAATTAACTCGCCCCTAGAACGGTGACAACATTAATGTGGTATCATGTATTCAGTTTAATATAATAAATATGCTTTCCGCAGATTTTGCATTGTTTTATTAATTTGTTTAATTTATAATTATAATTTTGCCATCATCGTCATTTTCCTTACATATGTATTTAAATCGGTATCAAAAAATTAAATAAATGATTACATGTGTCGTTCATATATATTATTATGAAATCAAATTTGAAGAATCTCTACTTGTATGTAACTCAATACAATAAACAAATACCTCAGATGCTCTCACATTTACAGTATTCAATTCCAATAACCTAATAATTCAAATCGAACCTATTACCTCATTGACGGCAATTTGATCAATTCATATTTTAAGTTAAACCATATATTTTGTTGTAATATTAATAAAAAATGTAGGTCGTTTCAATAAAGCAGCGTAATTGTTAAATTCCATGTTAATTT